AGAGAGAATTCTGGTTCGAACTGAAAGAGTCAACTTGACTTCTCCCAGTCGGCCAGTAAGTATTTATATTATTATTAAAACATGACTAAAAAGACCTATGTGCCCTTACTTAAGTTAAGAGCACATGTTTCAACACAACATTACAGATCAGCAACATCAATCAAGGTATAAAGACAGAAATACCCCTACGCTAACAGATCCCAAGTCTCAGATACGACCAGCAGGAGACCTTACCAACCAGCTGGTTGGCACCTTGCAATCTAGTAACATTTAAGTTCACCCAAGGCACTAGGGAATATCCTCATGCTCATGTAAAGAATCTAACTCCGCCCACAGTCTACCTCTATCAGAGGTATTTGGAAGACCATAGACCCCTGTCAAATTCCAATAGAAACCATCTGTTTTATTAGTAAAGGGCACAGATAGAGAGAACTCTCCCCTATCTACTTCAACCCCTGAAACCTCCTCTTCCTTCCACATTACAATAATAGCCCCAGACAAAGCCAATGAAGGAAGGGATGCCCAACTCTAAACCATCCACTGCAATCCCTAACTCCGCTTCCTTCCACATACGAGCTTCCTGGATTTCCTCTTTTTATTGTTTCTTTAACAAGAGCCCTATACAATTCTCCGCCCACCCTCTAACATTCCATCTTAAGATTTTCATTGTTCAACTCCAGTCGTCATTCCCTTACCAAACGTTCTATTAGCACTAGTTAGAGATTGTGCTGCCTGGTAGGTGATCCCCAATTGTAACCTCTTCAATTCGCTATTTGGGCCTTTCTTCAAGCCATATCCCTTCGTCTTTCCAAGACCATCCTACTCTTGCTTTGAGTTATAGTGAGAATTTCTTCCCAGCTCCCCTTCTATCTCAGAACTTTTCATCCCTAATTTCTTTGCCACATCTGTAACTCCTTTCCTGTCCAAGTTATCCATTTTGTTTCACAAAAAACTTTGCTCTGTGTCTTTAACAACACACACTGGCCTCAATTGAGACTTTGCTTTTTTTCTACAAGTTAGGCAAAGCTGGTGTTGGGATAGAACTCCTCCTGAACCTAGAACACAAGAAGAGAGTGGACTAGGGTGACCAAAAAAGGAAGAAAAACCAACAGAAAAGCAAGATGGCTTAAGAATTCGTTTCAAGGGGTGGTCTGGCACAAAACAATTAACGTAAGCCAATAATTCCTTCCTTTGTCCTTTTCCAAGACTTTCAGGATCAGAGCTTGTCTCGTACTCGAGATTCACCAGTTGCACAGGTTGAAGCATATCAACACTCCCCGATGACTCTTGACCTTGGAATTTTTGTTCCAACCAAAGCCACCTCCTAGAGATCAACTTCTGCTTCAGTTGCATATATGCTTCCCTCTGAATCAAAGTCGATCTCACCATTTCCTAGCACAGAGTCTATGCTCACAAACTGGGTGGTTGGCAGGCGATTTATCTCTCTTCTCCTGAAAGGCCCTTCTCGACTGACAATCAAAATATGAGCGAAACCACTTATTGAGACCACTTTGCTACGACCAGCCTCAAGCTTTAGGAAATCCTCCTGAGACAGAAACCCAAAAGGATGAAAAACTGAGCGCATTAATAGTAAATTCAACAGGTGATCAAAAGTTCTCCAACCAGATTTATTGGTTTCTTCCAGGATGCAGATGCATCTCAGCTTTTCCAACTGAAACCAGCAGATTAAACTAATGAGAACCTTCCCTCTTTTACACTCTCGTTTAAAGCCACTTGGAAGAAATTCTTCAACTATTTCACCCAACCCCCTTTGTGTAACACCTTTGACCAGGCTCCTCTTCCTCTCTGTTATTGTAACATCCTCTCCAAATGTCTAGCTCGAAAGATTTTGAACCAATTGCTCCAAACCATCTCATGCTTTCTCCCAGATATGCACATGGAAGATGTTCATCCAGCCCACACTATTTATATACTACAGATTGTGTATAGTTCTTTTTTGTTTTTTATCAGTACAGATTGTATGCAAATTACAAAAAGGACCAAACTACCTCTGGTTGATTGACCTACATATTCAATCAGAAACAAATTTAGGAAGCTGTTCACACATAATGCACAGATTAGGTCTCTGCCTTGTAATATAAGATGGTCAGCCATGAGGATTTTGTTATGGTATGCTGTCAAAACAGAAGCATATCTTAGATGGAATATGTGGAGAGCAGATGATTGCCATTTAAAAAGAAAAATATCTCCACATGTAAACAAAGCATAAAATGCCCCCCCCCCCATATCTGTTCTTTCACGAGTGAAAATTATAAAAAAAAAAACATAAAATATAGGAATATTGTACAAGAGTGTCTCCATAGTGTATCAAGAAAAGCAAATACCAAAAGTAACATCATATGTGAAACTTGTGTCTGTTATCATAAAAGTAACACCATATGTTTTTTTCAAGGCCAAGCTACTCGGCCCCTTCCAAATGCTAAAATTAAGTTATATGACAATGACTTGATCAATGGATAGCTGATCTGCTTAATGCCACCCCAAAAATATAATTAAGGCTGTGATTGGTTGCAATGCAAATAAATTTGCACTGATGCAAAAGTGTGGAAGTAAAAATGATTTGAGTGTAAATTCTGACTTATTTTTGTTTCAAATTTTAACTTATTTTGTTTAATTGCGGTACAAACGAAGTAAATTAAGACATGAAGCAGAATATAGTAAAAGCCCAAAACAAAATTAAACAAAATTTTCCATTTTCCATTTGCACTCCCATGCATTTGTACTAAGTGCAAATAAAATTGCACTGCAACCAAAAGCAGCCTAAGAACTGAGCTGTCTGATCAGAAAAGTTAAGATAAACAAGCTTCACCCACTTACTCTAGCAATATCAACTGGAACAGACCGATTAACCTTTGCCAATTGCAAATCAACGCTCTTCCTGGCCTCACTGTTCATTGTCTTGAACAAGTCCTACAAAATAACATCTCGTAAGAAATATGTGATATTACAAACTTGGTTGGAACAAATATAAAATGAATTAAATTACCTCAAAGAGAAGAGATATCAACTGTCCAGATAGCTCCAACCGTTTATTCCCTACATAGTCCTGCAATACAAGGAAAAATATTTATCATGAGCACAATCTGTGATTCTCGGATCCCTGTACATCCCTAGCATACTTGGTATTGTATCCAATATCTATCAGACCCGATACTGGATAATGCAAAGATGCTTCTAGATGTAATCTATAGCATAAAGACATTAACACATTTAAAATATATAAAGTGCTATGTTTTAACAATTATACTATAAAAATATCCACACAGGATAGAAATTTTAATTAAATTTGGCAAGATAAATCTTGAGAAATGACATTTTGCTTCAAAAACTAGATATAAACTCATGATATACGATACATTGGATACCAGTACCAATACCTGTATCCATGTCCAGGATTTTAGGAAATGAAGAGTCATATCTTCCTTTCCCATATTTATGCTCAATTCTGTGTATGTGGGCATCATAGAGTACAATTTGAAAAAGCATTCACACATGATTTGTCCATTACAAGCCTCACACGCCTGTCCTCTCCACAAGGCCAATGCTCAATACATACAAGATAGCCTAGATCTAGATGAGCATCATGTCATTGCCACTCTAGCTAGGTCTTCCAAAGTTATTCATCTTGATATGAGGTCTACTCCTCCAATAACTAAGGAATTGCAGCCCATCTAAAAGCTTTAGTGGGAATTCAATGGACAATGGAGAGGATAACGATTCAATGCCTCCAAAACCAAATGACCCACGACTCCAATTAAAAATCCCACTCAGATAACCAAGAAAGAATGTAGTTCCAAATACCTCCAGAGCTTCCCCTTCCACCACCACCCAAGCAACATACACCTCTTTAGTACCTACCAAATCCAAGGTTTTGGAAATTCCACACAAGGTTTCTACACGCAAAAGGAGACAAAGTATCAAATACTTTCTAGCAGAGAGTGTTAGTATCTACCATACTGAAACCCCCAAAAACATTCCCCATCCTAGTAAATGTCAGGATGCATTAAATGTTCAAGAATACAAAGAAAATGTTGACCCACCACCAGGCATAACCCCTCAAAATCATCAGCTACTATAAGAGGAAAAACATCTCTCAATATGTAATTTTTTACTCTACAGAGATCTTCTATGGTCAAGAGCATCTAACACTTCCATTTCCAACAAAAGAACAAACAACAAGATGCCGCCACCTAGCCACCTAATCCTGGTTTATAGCTATAACACTAGTAAACTGACACTCAATCTTCAACCTCCCTATGCTCGAGGCAAAATCTTCAAAACTTCCAACCAAGCAGCTACAAAAGAATGGCTCTCCTGCTGCAACTCCTTCATCATTAATGTGAACTCTATTATGAAACCCTACCACCTGCACCAATGCTCTCCCTTGCCCCTCAGTATCCCATAGCACCATATTTGCCATCACATCAATTGACCATTAGTAGCAACAAACACTGTTGTTTACATTCCTGAAAGCATGGGATCTCAACACATTTTTCGCAATTTCCCAAGCGGTTTTCAGAAGTTCTTATACCTCTCCTTCAAAATCTATGATAAAAACACCAAAGCGGTGATGGGGATCAAAAGAAGCCTTTGAAGACTACTATCTCCTTCAAGTGCTTCACTGTCAAGATGCTGTCCAAGGGAAGGAGCCAAGCAAAGGCCTCAAGCCATCCCAAATATTCTTTCTTATCATATATTCAGTTGCTGTTGAGATTTTCCATTGTATGAATACTAATCTACAACAGCTGATTTCTAATTGTTTTTTATCCAAAACCCTTTTAACAAACTATTATAGATTCATTTATTTTCTTCCATCGTCAACAAACCATCGCCTTAATCTCTGATACTTAGCCTACTATAGGTCTGATTCCAGTAGACCATTGAGGGGGAATCCAATATTTGCAAAAATTAAAAAGCATAGATGTGCTTAGAGAGAGATTTTCATATCCATTACCTCATAAGCACAAGAAATGATTCAACTCAATTCATTTAGATGTTTCAATCAGATCAAAATTCTTTTTTTTTTTTGGAACTACTCGAGGCTCCAAATATCCCTTTCACAAATAAAAACAGCATAGGATCCTCCTCCAGTAATTCTATTTATTACTATCTACCCTTTTGCAATAGGAGAGAACCATATGATAGACATGAACAAGAAAAGCACATGAGGTGAGGTATGTGTGAAGGGAAAAAGACATTAAAAAGTTCCAAGGTGGTTTGGAATGAGGTTGAAGATTTCTGAAAGACTACACAGCAAACTTGGATTAAATATGTGAAGAAATGCAACACCAATTAGTGTTGGAGCTCTGAGGCTTGACTGATGATAACAATTTATTTTTGTTCTCAGCTAGCTATCATTCATCTTTGTTGAGTCCAGTCAAAAATACAAACACTCAGTTTTTTTTATAGATATTCAAACACTCATAACGCTGAAATAGTTTCATTAATTAGAAAAACTTAGGATACAACAAGTTGTGAAAGAAATCAGCTTTAGTAAGCTGACACAAAACAGAATTACAGATGTGTCCAAAACATATGTGTTCTTTGAACCCCTTGTTTTGCTAAGCTATCTGCCAATCTCTTCACCCACCCCACCTGGACTGACATGCTCCTTGACATCCATTTAAATCATGGAGTTCATTCTTCAGCTGTTATGTCACCCCTTCCCCTTTCTGCAACCATTTTATCACAGTTTTCGAGTCTCCTCAATGATCAGTTTATTAATACCCAACTCTTTATCCTTCTCAACCCCATATGCTGCAGCTAAAAACTCTGCCTTTCCACATCGCCCTACTCCACAGGACCGGAGTACAATGCAATAATGTTTCCATCTTCATCTCTAATGCCCCCCCCAAATGCCTGAGGGGCCTGGATTACCCACACAACTCCCATCAAAGTTCAGCTTCTTCCAGCCATCTATTGGAGGAGACCATACCTAAAAAAGCTGCTGTCTTGTAGATGAAGAGGCAGCAACAAGTCCCCAAACCCTAAAGAAATCTTTAACCTTAAAAACTGAAAACAACTTCAAGCTTTTTGCCCAATGTGCCACCCTCAATATTATTGTTTCAACTAATGCCTACTTACATTTTTCTTTTACTTTTTTATAGCTATTTTTTTATAATTAAAAAGGAACAATTTCATTAAAGCAACAAGTTTCCTTTGGAGAGGCACGAGCTGCGTCCTCTCCTACCAGTAGGAATAAAGACAAAAGATAGAAGACAGATTCAGTCTACAATTGAGCCCAATACAAACTTTCCCTATTTACCCCTTGCTTTGCAAGACCATCAGCCATAGAGTTTGCTGGCCTCCCCACCCATTGTATTCTTACAGTCAAGCTTCTTGTTAGACAGTTGAACTTTTTAATTTCATTCTTAAAACACTACACTACAGATTCTGGATTTTGTAGCCACCCCACTACTACCTAGTCCCCTTCTATTATCATCTGTTCCACACCTATCTGCACTGCTAATTGTACTCCCTGGATAGCGGCAGCAAGTTCCACTCTAGTAGAGTTTCCAACTCCTATGGGTCCTGAGAAAATAAGGACCACATTCCCACTCTCATTCCTCAGTACCCCTCCCACCCCTGACGGACCAGGATTACCAAGACTGCTCCCATCGAAATTCAGCTTCAAGAATCTTTCACGAGGGAGTTCCCAAGCCATGCTCACTTTAGTTTTTTTGGATGAGCAATTAGCCACTACTAACCAATTCCTCCACACATCAATGAATGAGAATTGATGGAATAAATCCAGTGATTTTAGACATAAAATCGCCCTATTTAGAATGCAGTCCTTCATCTCTTCTAGGCTTCTCTCCTTCTCTTGGAAAATTCTGACATTCCTTTCTTCCCACATACACCAAATCAGCGCTGCTCTTACACACCTCCACATAATTCTTCCTCTTCTGTGCCGCCAAGGGAAGAAAGAAGGATGAAAGAACAAACTTGCATCTGCTGGCCTAACCAACCAGCACCCGAACAATGAGAAGAGCCACTCCCATAACTATGCAGTAAATGAACAAGATATTAGTATATGGTTACAGTCCTCAACATGTGACCTGCAAAGAATACACCAAGAAGGTGAGAGGCAGAGAAAAGGTCTTCTCTTTTGCAGAGTGTCAAAGGTGTTTATTTTCCTATAATGCACTTCCCAGCACAAAAGCCATAACCTTAGGGGGAACAGGCCTGCACCAAATTTCCTTAAAAGGGAAAGACTGGTTGGGGGTAAACTGAGTAATGGATTTAAAAAAAGAAGCACATGAAAAGGATCCACTCTGCTGGGGTGTCCAAATCAGAGTATCATGTTCAGAAGGGTTCAAACATACTGTATCAAGTAGACTTGGCAGATTTGTGAGAGACACGATTTCCTCTTCCCTTAAACCTCTACGAAACCCAAAGTCCCAGTTTGGTGTTAATGGGTTATTCATAATGGAAAAAAACTTTGACATAACATGCTTTTTGTACCTTGAAATGGAGAACAAAGAAGGGAAAAGGTCCTTCAATGGAACCTCTCCCACACAAGTATCCTCCCAAAATAGGACTGAGTTACCATTGCAAACATCATACCTGACAAACCTAAGGAATTGAGGAAGAATGCCATGAATAGCTTTCCAAGGTGTTTGCCAAGGTTGCCCACCATGATACTCTAGCATCCCATCCGTTTTCTGAGCGACCATCAATACTACCCACCACCTCAGGCCAAAGTCTCTCTCTCTCTCTCCATTGGCCACCTCCATAGCCACTTCCCCAGCAATGCTTTATTTTTTTTAATCAAATTCCCTAAACCCAAACCCCCTTCCTCTTTATTCCAGCAAACCACCACCCATTTTATCAAGTGACTCTTTTTACTCTCCCCCTGCTCCCAAAGAAAGTCTCTCATCAGCTTCTCTAGCTTCTTAGCTTCCCTAGGTGGTATCCTAAACACAGACAAGAAATAGGTTGGTAAGTTAGCAAGTGTGGCTCTTATCAACGTGATTCTACCCCCCAAGGATAAGTAGTTTTTCCTCCACGAAGTTAACTTCTTTTGGAACCTCTCTACAACTGGAC